GGCAGCTAAAAAGCCAATGCAATTCTGGGCTGCATCAATAGGAGTATAGCATCTAGATCAAGGGAAGTAATAGTGCCACTGTATTCTGCTCTGGTCAGACCTCACCTGGAGTACTGTGTCCAGTTCTGGGCACCACAGTTCAAGAAGGACACTGACAAACTGGAACGTGTCCAGAGGAGGGCAACCAAAATGGTCAAAGGCCTGGAAACGATGCCTTATGAGGAACGGCTAAGGAGCTGGGCATGTTTAGCCTGGAGAAGAGGAGGTTAAGGGGTGATATGATAGCCATGTTCAAATATATAAAAGGATGTCACATAGAGGAGGGAGAAAGGTTGTTTTCTGCTGCTCCAGAGAAGCGGACACGGAGCAATGGATCCAAACTACAAGAAAGAAGATTCCACCTAAACATTAGGAAGAACTTCCTGACAGTAAGAGCTGTTCGACAGTGGAATTTGCTGCCAAGGAGTGTGGTGGAGTCTCCTTCTTTGGAGGTCTTTAAGCAGAGGCTTGACAACCATATGTCAGGAGTGCTCTGATGGTGTTTCCTGCTTGGCAGGGGGTTGGACTCGATGGCCCTTGTGGTCTCTTCCAACTCTATGATTCTATGATTCCCTACAACTGGGAACCCTGTCTTAGCAGGGCTCCTGTTCACAAATATTTTAAGCTTGTTCAGCTGATCAGACTTAAAATCCCAATTCAGGTCTTTACACTCAAGGGGCAAAGATCAGAAGTGGATCTTGGAGCCAGGGCTTGTATGTGCACCTATGTGTTCCTTTCTAGCTTAAGGCTTCAGACATTTCACATAACTTTTGAACAGGACAACAGCCTGAACCTAAACTGGATTCAATGGGACTTGCTCGTAACTGTGCTTAATATGACAGCCTTATTCTTAAAGTATTGGCAATGCATTTCTTTTGATCTTGGCTGGTTGTTGCTACTTCAAGGTCTTTCGATACCTAAGGTTTCTACAAAGCAGTCAGGTATAGCAAACTCCTGCAGTTTTCTTCTCTGTTAAAACAGATGCCCTGCCTAACTTAGTGTAAAAATGGGACATTCACACAGAGAACCTGACCACCAGTAACCTATATACCTTTGACAAAATAAAGATCTGCTCCATTGAAGATTGTGGAGAGATGGAGATGGAAGGAGAGCGATCAGGTACTTTGCGAAAGAAGAGGCACAAACTGCTCACTGAGTCCTTGGCCTTGTTAGGGACTTGGGCCAAGTGCCATAGCCAGCACTGTCCCACTTGGTTAGATTGCAGACTGCCATGGACTGGTTTGATGCAGAGGAATGGCGGGAGGAACCAGCCAAGGAACCCCCAAGAGAAGAAGGCTCAGAGTTTGGGAATTGGTGGTGGGATGACAATGAGTGGTTAAAGGGAGAAGACTGGGAGGAGAAGGTGCTGAAGGCTGAAGAGGTAACAGGGTTTAATAAGCAGGGAGAGTCTTACTAAAGTCTGGTGGGCCTCCCCCTTACCTGCTTGTGATTGGCCAAACAGATAGCCAGCCAATCAGGATTTTTTAAATAAAAAAAACGATTTCCCTCCTTTTCTTCTCACTTCCCTCTGTGGCCCCCTAGCCTCGTGTTATGCCCCCCCCCATTTATGTAATTTTCACCTGGGGCCCCCTTGAAATATCCTGGGCCCCCCTGGGGAGGCATGTGGCCCCCAGTTGGAAAACACTGCTCTAACCTACAGTCTTTGTCATTGATCACATGAGCAGCTGTGCACAGAGATGTGGATTCCTAATTCCAGCCCCAGCAACTGCTGATGGTCACGTAATGAGGGTGTATTGCCTTGTGAATATGAAGGGTTTTCTCCAACGGTACTCTTACTCAGAGTAGACTCACTGAAATTAATGGACATGAATAACTTAGTCCATCAGTTTCAATAGCTCAACTGTAACTAAGTTGAATACAGCCTACAGTACTTTTCAACAAATTCCATTGCTGAGCTGAAAAGATATTATCTCTGACTTGTGTCCCATCACAGAATAATAAAAGAATTTTCAGAACAGTTGCTTGGGGAATATGTGAAATGTTTCTTGAGATCACAGCCATTCCGTGCCGACTCTTCTATTCATTTGCATTTGTCTTCTTTGTTCTGGAAAAAAATTACCATATAATAATGAATTCAATTTGCAGAAAAGGAAAGAGTTGGGTTTCTGTTTCCTTTTTGGTGGGGGAGGGGGGGGCAGTGGTTTCTGACATGAAGATAACGCTTCTGGTTCTAAAAGATAAGACTGGCTGATGAGCAATGGCTTTTTTTGACCCTCTTGATTCATAAATGCCTGCTCGAAAGATGTTAAGCTCTGTAATTGACAAGGCTGTGTCAGAATAGTGGAGACAGTAAGTTAAATGATTACACCCTTAATCTCTAACAGCTAAACAGATCAGACATGTTATGTAAAAATTTTTTTCTTTTTGGCAGTGCAGTGGTTGGCTCGTCTAGAAAGTTCTGATGCCAACAAGGTTAGGTAGAGGACATGTCTCTCTGGAGGCCATGGTGAATGCAAGCAGACGTGTTTACCATCACAACATAACAAAGGTAGCTTTGTATGGCAAGGAGTTTACAGTCTGTTGTGCCGGTAGTTTCACTTAATGGCATAGCACTGCCCGACAACAACATCTCTGAGTGGGATTAATTAATGAGTGGAAAGGAGGCCTAGCAAGAACTAAGAAGGAATTTGGCACACAGCTGGTGTCGCATTGTGGCCAAGAGGGTGGACTGAGAAGTCCCCAGTTCACGTCTCACTGAAGACCTGAACTCATTAGGTAGCCTTGGGGAAGCACCTCTAACTGCTGTGTGTGTGTATGCATGCATGCATTTGTAATAGCCATTATAGAGTTGTTGTCAGGCATGACAACACATGTCTTTGGCTTCCTCAATATTTGTTGGAAGGAGGTCAGGTCCCCTCAATGTTGAGGGGGCGGAAGAGGTTGAGCGTGGCACAGCGCTCGGCTCCTCCAGAGTGCTCAGCCTCCTCCCAATGGTGTGACAACACACGGGTTTGCCATCGCGCAAACGTGATGCATGGTGCACATGATGTCACACACATGTGTCGTATGCGTGACATCACACATGCGTGATGTGCACCTGGCCCCCTCAATCTTGGGGGAAACTTGGTACCTCTGGTTGTCATCTAGATCACTGATATAAAGTATGTGAAGTGCACTGAAATATGCAATAATGCTAAATCTTTATGATCGTTGTTCTTGCCTGAGTAATTATACATTTTCCTAAGGTTCCTCATAATATTCTTACTTTTGTACTATACATACAATTTACTTAATGCCATTTCAAAATACTTGAGAGTAATTTGATGGCAGCTTGGTAGGAATTTATGGTACCTTGCTCTGGTAAGAGTGCTGAAAATAGTTATCGCATGCTAACGAGATTATTTTTTAAAGTTTGCATTCTACATCCTCTTTCAGCCAATGGGCAAACCTCCATTTATTTGCATGGACTTGGAATGGGCCTGCATGAATTGTAACACTATGCCACTAATCCCATCTCCATACTTGCTTCTTTCCTTCTCCAGTTCTAAATCCTTGAATTGGGTATTTAGGTCACATGAGATGTATATTCTTGTCATTTATTTTAAAGCCTAAGTAGCTGCCCTATAAGCAAGTAAGAGGAACTAAGGCAAGGCAAGGATAGGATAGGCAAAGCATGAGTGTGGCTGATGTTATATTCAATTACCATAAATAATTTACAATGCAATCCAAACCCAAGATCTGCCAGGATGAGTGAGTTTGGAATAGGTGGACCAGCTGAACTGGGACTCAGATGGGATTATGCTAGTGTAACTCCTTCATCCTGACTTAGTCAGGGAATACATGAACATAACTCCCATAACTGAACATAACTCCCATAACCTACACCTATTCCAACCCTCTTTCATCTCAGTCATGTGACTTGTCAACCCGCCCAAACTTGCACCGACAAAAAGGTGTTGTGGAAATCAAACTCTATTTCAAAGACCTGTTTTCCTTCTGCCAGGCTTGAGCAGAGTCAGCAGGCAGTAAGCTCACCCCAGAGCAGAATTTGTAGTGTTTCTCAATCTTGGGTCTCCAGCTGTTGTTGGACTACAACTCCCATCATCTCTAGCTAGCAGGTCAAGGATGATGGGAGTTGTAGTCCAAGAACAGCTGGAGACCCAAGTTCGAGAAACACTGGGAGGTATTAATTTACACCAGCTTAATTAGAAACAACATGAATTCCACTGGCTTCCTATACTTAGGACCGCTCTGCCTGGGTGCTATGTGTTTATCATATATTCTTCCTGTAAGCATTGCGCTGTATAATTAATGTGTATGCTTTATTAAATGCGTATGAAAAATACTATTTTGAAAGCATGATTTAGAAATATGAAAACTCTCATAAAGGAAAGAACATGGTGTTTTGAACATTTGTACAGATTACCATTGCGTTCCCTACCCGGCCAAGGAAGAACCTCTAAACAATGTAAGAGCTCTGTACAAAATATTTCCACCGATTGCTGTAATTGCAGCTGAAAGGTGTAATTGTTTTTTTGTCTTTTTGTAATATGAGGAGTTGGAAACATGATAAATTGTTATATATGCAAATGATGCATAAGATGAGAGTATACCCAGAATGCATGGTTAATAAAGATTGATCCTGAGAAGGAATAACATTGCACATTTAGCAATGAAGGACATTCACATCATTCAACTGCAATTTGAAATGATTTTAGGTCTCCTGTTTGGGGATTGATGGGGTTTTATTTGGGCTCAGCATTTTATTGTTAGGTTTATTATTATTATTTATTATTTATCATTTTATTTATTTATTTTATTTATTATTTATTATTATTATTATTTATTATTTATTGTTAGGTGTGAGCTACCTTATGCTGCAAAAGAGGTGGGGTAAAGATACTTAAAATAAATTACAAATAGATACAATCCTCTCAAAGCACAGGACCTCTAAAGTGCTATATATTTCAATGAAAGAGAGAGTGCTTAAAGGCAACAGATGCTGGATAGCTCAGTCAGTAGAGAATAAGATTCTTAATTTCAGGGTTGTGGGTTCAAGTCCCATGCTAGGGAAAAGATTCCTGCATTGCAGAGGGCTGGACTAGATGACCCTTATGGTCTGTTCCAATTCGACGATTCTTTGAACCTGGTGATCATCACTGAATATTGCAAGAGCGAATTCTATAGTTCAACTATGTGTAGCTGTGTGAAAAAGAACTTCCTTTCATGGCTTCAATAATTTCAATAATGAGCTGCATTTGATGTCAGGATGCTGTCAGTGGCTCCCGCCTGGTTGCCCAGGAAAGAATAAAGACAAGGAAAAGTTTCTTACTGTCCTTTTTTATTTCAGTGTTTACAGTGAGAGGCTATAGAACCCAGCCTCCTGGTTAATGACGTTGTCCCGAATGAATCTCCACACCCCCATCTCTCCCACTTCCTCATTTGTCATTCTCATAATCTCCTCTACGGGTGCTGCTACGTGCTCTCTGTCTTTGAGCTCTTTGCTCTCCTACTTTTAATGCTTGCTGGGTTCTAGGAGGTGGAGGGTCTGGAATACCTTCTAATGACATCGTGTCAGCCGGGTGTTGTTCTGGCTCTCCCATGATTTCCCAACTTTCCCCCTCATTTACCTCTGAGCTGCGACCTCCCTCATACCCCTGTTGTAAATCTATACTGTCTTCGTCTTCCTCTTCCCTGGAAGGGTCAGGTTGGGGAGGCGGTCTCCACCATTCCTCCTCTGCCCAATCCCTGACATCGAATAGCCTTGGATTGAAAAACTTCCCTTTCTCCATACCATGTGTAATCTAGTTGCACAGAGTTGCATAACTTAGTGGAAGCAGATGTCTACTCATGCAATGGATTTCTTCTCCCCCTCTCGCCAGGCAGCTCCCAACATGAAATCTTCTCCAGAGGATTCTCCAGCCCTCCAAAGCAAATTTTGGGGGTGCAGGAGGATTGTAGGGGGAGGGAAATAAACCAGTTCCTGGAGAACAGGCACCAATGGATTTCACCCTATATTTTTAAGTAGTGCCTTGAAACATATAAGTGACTAACACTGAAGAAACGGCTGCACATACACAGGGTCAGTGCAAAATGTAGTGCAAGACACATTCTGGACAGAGTAGCCTCTGTGGTGCAAAGGCAATATGTTTCCAATGAGCTCTTAACTCCAGCTAAATTTGTTCTTGCTATTTTGAAAGCTAAGCTTGCATGGTAGATTCTGGTTAATAAAGAGAATGCAGTGCAGGAGATAGACTTTATATTACCCCAAGTTCAGGCTCTATAATTTTCCCAAGGGTTAAGATAAAAGACTTCTCCATTACTTGTCCTGGGAATACAACACCACAAAGTAAGGTGGGAAGGAAAGAAGATGAAAGCTCAAACACGATTAGATATACATGTACTACAGAGGAAGTAATTAAAACCCTGGATAGAAGAATTTACAAGATTTCAGGAACACATAAAATGCCCTCCACCGCTAGTAACATCCAGCGTATTTGTTTCTTCCTTTATAGCAATGTGTTCTTAGTTATTTGCCTTAGAAAAATATTCATATCCAACCTCCTTTGCCTACATTATGGTAATGAAAGCCCTGTTCCTTTAAAAAAATGCTATCAGTGGCATAAGCTCACACTTGGGTTGCTAGATCTGAGCACAAAATTATCACATTTTGCTCCATTGTTATTGGTTTGTATTCAGTGCCCAGTGCTTGTGATCACATAATGAGAATTCCCTGCCCCTTCTTGACCAAAGCAGCTTCTTCTGAGTTTGGGGAAAACTTCTGGAAAGACTTGACATGCAGTGGAATGGAGGAACTAGGAGAAATCAATCAGATACAGCTTGTGTTAATCTGGTGATTGAATCAATGTTAGTGCATACTGTGCTCAAAGTCAGTCAATGCGCCAACATTCACTCAAGTCCAATCAAGGTTCAGTTTTGCCCAGTTGCAACCCAGTAGAGTAGGGAGTGAAGCTCGCATGAAACGAAAAAACCCACAGACGACTAAACGTAACTGAAACAAATCACTTGGTTTATTGATATACAGAGCATGATATGAAACAGAATTATCAATGATATAGAAGTTAAATGGCTATGTTGGGAAACACTTAACTGTGTTTCCCCCCCTATTGTGTAGTGTTTTCTCTCCATTCCACTGGGTTGCTACTGAGCAAAAGCGAAACTTGTTTGGAATCCAGTGAATGTTGATGCATTTGCTGTTTTTGGGCATGGTTTGCACTAATGTTGATTTGATCATTGCCCCTTCTTCCTTCCTAGCAGGAAGAAGGGAAGAGAAAGAAGAAAAGAAAAAGAAGGTGTTTGTGTTGGCTTGGGTTATTTTTATAACATGCATTGAGATTTGGTGCCTGTAAAAGGTCTCAATGTATACTCCTCAAAAATCCACAATGCATGAGAGGCTCTTTTTCAGTTCAGTTCCTGCTTGCATGGGCTCAGCATCTCTTACAACAAACATGCCCTTTCAGACATATCCACATTTTCCTGGATACTAGTACTGAACGCTATCTCCTTTCCATTCTGAACAAAGGAGAGGTACAAAGAATTTCTCTCCATGAATGAGTGAGTGCATTGCTGGGTGATGTAGGTAAGGAGATTTCACCCCTCCCATATCCAAGAATCTGCTGGGGTTCTCTGCTGATTCTCCAGAGAGGAGGGGGTGGTTTCTGCTCTCTACTTATTCCGCTCCAGCCTCACATCAAAGAGAGAGAGACTGAGTGTTCGAGAGAGATCGTGTGTATTGATAAGGTTGCTGCTAAGAGCAGCTGCAGACACTCAGTGCAGTTCAGCTTCTCCATTTAGCTCTGTATATAGTTTGTATGATAGTTGTAGATAGAATAAAAGAAGATATTCTACAGAGCTGCTCTCCGAGTCGTTTATGCTCTGCTATACTCTGCTGTACGACGACTGTCTTCTTGTTGGAGTAAATCCGGTGCTCACAACTCTAAGCTGTGAGTCCACAGCACTTTGACCTGTTCCTGTCCAGAAGGTGGTCTCTGGAAGTGCTACCCAGCTCGCCTAGCCCAGTCGGGGCTGAAGTGGATGAGTCCAGTTGATAGCACTGGCTCAAGGGCGATGCTGACAGTAGGCACCTTTTTGATGGTAGGGCTGAGTTGGGGGTGGGGGCAGGGGACATGCCCATACCTTTTTAGATGTGGCAGCCATTTTGTGTCATGCCACACCCTTCGTCGTAGCCATTTTGTGAATAGTGTCCATAGCACTTCCTCAAAATTCCAAATGTGTTTAGTGACCCCAAAACGTTGGCGGCTCCTGGTGTATGGAGTCCAAATTCTAGGCTAAATCTCAGAATACATAATTATTTTATATTGTCATATTGTGGGCATGTCCTATTCTCACTGTGTGACCAAGAGGATTCCAAGAGGATTCCATCCCCTTTTGCAAAATCTGTCTTTTGGCAGCTAGGGCTACTCACACGATCCCTTTTTGTCCCACAGGGAGGAAAGGCTCACAATATTAAGTCATTTTCAGCTCAAAGCCAGGATCCTTGAACTGTATTTACCTGTGTTGAGTCAGCCTTTTCAAACTGCATCGGTTAGAGTCTCTGCAACATCATCACGAGCAGCACCGGAAATGAAAGACTTATGTCAATGAACGTTATGGATATTGACTGGGAGACAAGCACCTGCAAACTCATTCACCATGTAAAGCACTGAATCAGTCCTGAGTCAACTAGATAGCAGTTTTCCAGCACAGTTGTTGTGGCATTCCTTATCTAGAGTATACATGTTTGTACAGTCAATAATAGACGCCACATTATCATAATTCCCTAAATATATTTACAATGGTTACTTCAATGCTTTTGAAAAATCAGATAAAGCTATACTACGCAACTGCAAGATAGCTTTCGGTGTCTAGTTTTCAGCAATGTTTTAGTGTTTGTGAGTAGCATACAATAGGTAAGGTACTAAGAAGATGCAAGAAGAAGAAGCCTAAAGAAAGTTTTACGATGCTTCTTTTGTTCACGGACCAGTTAATATGCTGTAAATTGGCTACCTTGTTAACCTGTCACCACTACGTTTCCTTCATGTGGTGGGACAACCAGAGATGATCTCTGAGGCCTGATAGGCATAAATATAGGGAAGAGCAGGACTGGTGAAAGAAAGCTGCATGGATCACATGACGTAAGCTGCTCTCAGGAGGACACTGCCCCATCACCAGTATTGAAGTAAGAGTCAGCTGGCAGTCTGAGCAGCTTCTGTACGTGGAATGGCAGTGCTACCTTGACCTTTGACTCAAACAGCAAAAATGTCCTAATGAAGAGGTGATCCCTCAGGTACCATAGTCATCTGGAGTTTGGGAGTACATAGCCAGCAATATGCTGATGACACACAGCTCTACTTCTCCTTTACATCTGCAGGTGAGGCAGTGGATGTGTTGGACCATTGCCTTTCCTTGGTAATGGACTGGATGAGAGCCAACAAACTTAAGCTCAATTCAGATTAGACTGAGGCACTGCCAGTGGGTAGTTCCCAAGTCCAGATGGATGGGAGGTAGCCTGCTCTTGAAGGGGTTACACTCCCTCTGGAGGAGTGGGCATACAGCTTGAGGGTCCTTCTGGTTCCTTTGCTGTCTCTTGAGGTTCAGGTGGCCTTAGTGGTGCAGAGTGCCTTCCATCAGCTGCACCCCAGTGGCTCAGCTGTGCCCCTATCTGGACAGGGTCCAGGATCCAAAGTTCCATAATCAAGCATCAGTATTGAGCTTCAGCAGGCACCAGGCATTCTAAATACTGGCCTATCTTGCCAGAACAGCAAAAAAATTATATTTTCTTGATTTGTCCCTGACTCAACCATAGCTGGTGAAAATTATTAAGGGCTGGCATGGTATGTTCATATCTCACAGCCCCAATTAACCATTTTACTACTCTCTTCTGGACTAAATGATGTTTCTGGACCATTTTCAAGAGCAGCCTAACAGATAATGTACTGCAGCAATTCAGATGGAAGGTTACTTGTGTGTGTGCTCAGCGAAAGCAAGACTATCCCCATCCAGGTACGGTTGTGGCTGCTGTGTCAGCCTCAGACTCGGAGGCCGGCTGTACCTCTAGTGACAAAAATATACCTTGACATGTAATAAATTATTAGTTTAACACTGCAAACTTGCACTGGGTCTCACTACTATTTGAAGAGGCATTAAAAAGTGTTTTTTTCTGAAGAAAAGAGTTGATTTAGTATGCTACCCTTCACATTTCCAATTAGAGATCCATTTTCATTTTAAACACTCCTTTGCCAGCAAATGTTACTGCAGAAATACTCTATGAGATAAGTGAAGAAGAATTAAGCAACAATTGGGATTCATCAATGTTTTGCTTTGAGTCAGATCATCTGGCCCTGTTGCCTAATCCTTTTCCTTTAGTCTTTCCCTAAATGTGCTTGAATTGATGTTGGCACCTCAGAATCAGCGTACATGAGAAAAGTCATTGAAAGTAATGAAAGGAAATAGCTTGTCTGAGTAGAACACACTTCCCTCCATCAATTCTTATTGTGTTGCCTTGTGCATTTCTGCTGTTGCATCTGCCTTGCTTACTTCACCTGGCTTCATTTAAACTGGAGAGCCAGAATTGAATCTGGGACCTCCTGTATGCCAGACTTGTGGTTTAGCACTGAGCTATGCCCCATCACTATAAAGATCATATAAAGATTGTATGTACGGTAGTTGGAAAGTTTTTGAAATATATCTTTATACCACTTGCCATTATAAATAGGTCTCAAAGCAGTTTGCAAAGGCTGGATACTTCTCCTCCTCCTCCTCCTCCTCCTCCTCCTCCTCCTCCTCCTCCTTATTGCTGTATTATTATTCATTTGTATACAGCCTTCCATCTGCAGGTCTCAAGTTGATTTGCAACATAAAAATACAGTAAGAGGCCATAAAACACGAGAACAGCAAGAACAAAAACCACAGACCAATAACCCTCTCCCCCCATTACCAACTTAAAACACACCTACCTCATTAATTTTCTCAATTCGGATTGAAGCTGGTTTGGAGGGAAACCAGTCTGAATCGTTTTGGATCCAAAATTATAAACATAGAGCTGCATCTCTATTATGTGATATAGTTCTAACTCTTTCTTTCTCTTTCTCTTACAGGTTCTATGGACTGTCATTCAGAGAGACCCTAATGGATGTCTTTTGCATTTTTTAAAACCCATCTCTTTTTGTGGGGGATTCTTGGATCAACACTCTGTCCCTATAATGACTGAAACATCTGAAGGATGTGATTGACAAGAGGCTTGTGCAGTCTGCAAAGGATTCCCCCCCCCCCACTGATCAGTTTTGTACCTTGACTCCCCCAAAGAGAAGCATGCTCAGTGGCCCACACGGTTAGAGAAGAGTTGCCTCTCACTTGGGCAGTGAGAGAACTGGCGTTTTGAAGTCTGAAGATGAGTGCCCCGCTGGTTCCCAATAAGTCATGTTACAATTTACTGCAGGACAACAGAAACGAGATGAAGAATAACAATGAACGTATGGTGACTGTTGGAGACACGAATGCCAACCAAATCACACCAGAGGTTAGAACCTCTGGAGGGGAATTAAGGACAAATGATCTGTCAAGAGAAACTAGATGCCGGAATGCAGGTGAGACAGAAAATAACACACAGTTAGATTCAGAGAGGAACAGACTTCAGGGCACTACTACTGGCCTATCTGAGTTTAGGCTGCATTCCACCAGCAGCAGGGAATTGCATAAGGATTACAGGACTGATGGGGTGAAGGACTCTTCAAAACTACTCCCTATTAGCCGGGGATATAGTTTGTCCAATCTGAGGATTAATACAAATGAGACCTTTTCAGTGGTTCTTTCAAAAAGCGATGCTGATCTCATTCAGCACGTTTCAAAGGAGAGAGCACCTAGAAGGATTGAGCCAGAAGGCATAAAGCGCCTTTCCTTGGGGAGATCAAGGAAACTGATGGCTAAAACGGAAGCTTTTGGGAAAGAATTTGTAGGTCGTGTATCAGGCAAGCGGTTGCTTTCCGCATCCTTGGATTCCATTGACACCTCGCACCATTTGATTGGGGACACCGAGAGATCTCGTAAAACATCCACAGACCATTTTTTAGGCGTGGTGTTTCGTCCAACTGATAGCGCTTCCGAGGGAAACATTGTCCGTTATTCTAAGCCACCATCTACCTCAGAAACGAAGAAAACAAATGTTGCAGCAACACAACCAGGTGCGGACAACCTTGCAAATTTCAACAAACAAAGCACACCACACCCTGCTCACATAGATCTACATTTAACTGTAAAATCCAGTGAAATTTGGAGCAGATCAGAAGCACAAGTAGATCACCAGGGTGATAAGAGGGGAAAGGCGGAGTTGAAAAGCCCTCTGTATTCTCAGTCTAAGAGTATGTGTCAGCAAAAAATTGACAGGAATACGCCGGTTGAATTTCTCGGATATCAGATGGAGGAAAATAACGTTGCAGGGCAGAATAAAAAGGATTATGGGGCTGAAGTATACAAGGAGAAATCACATCAGTTACAGGAAGCTTGTCGCAAAGGAGAGAATCCATATTTAAATGAGGACTTTGACTCTGCCAGTGACAGGCTGGTAAGTAATAGTAATAACTCCCCAGGTTTAAGAAAGGGAGGTAGTCTTAGTGACAGCAGGTCGATGAACCAACTGAGTGAGTGTATTGCTGAAAAAGAAGAGGATTCTGCATTGCCTTTTGCTGGTGACAGCAAACACAGTGGCAAGCTGACACCTACAAGAAATAAAAACCTACATGATACTGATGCAAGTTGCATTCAAGCAGCTGGTGGACATATGCCTTTTATGCATAACACAAATCTGCCAGACTGCAAACTTCTAAACAGTAATGAAAGCAAACTAGTCAAAGGGAATAGTGATGTTGCGATGCTCACCTCTGATCAACCAAACGTGTTTAGTGCAGAGAATGCGTCAGATGATCACTCTAACATCCAGGGCTGTGGTTTAGATGCTACAAGTGTTTCAGTTCTGAGCAAGAAGACGGTCATTCTAAAGAGAAATCTTTCAAGCGACACTCCGGAGAGCTGTAAAATATCAGGAAGAACAGATACCTTTTTATGTGCCCCGACGCCTTTGCGCCCTGTGGCGGCTGTGAATGTCAGTAATCACACCACAGCATCAAGCAGTGGCTTGAAGGATCATGTTGACAAGCTGCCATCCTCTGCAGTCCTACCTCCCATTGATGACACACAGTTGCTAAGCCTATCCCCTAAAGTGCCTAACAAGACTCCCTGTAACAGTGGCATCCCCAAACCCATCCTCATCCATGCTAAGGGCTCCCATCTGGCCAAGGACGACGGGGAGAGCAATGGCATAGAGAAGCTGGAAGACAAGCCTGAGATAAAACCAGACATCCCCAAGCCCAAACATGTAAGGCCTAAGATCATCACTTACATCAGAAGAAATCCCCAGGCAATAAGCCACCTCGACCATGCATTTGCCCCAGCTGGATTACCCTATGTGGCACCTCCTTGCAGCATGCCAATGGCTACAGAGCAGAAGGCTTCGAGCGATGGAGATATTAAAGCAGGCACCGTTCTCTATGACAAGTTTAAACCTGACTTGCAGAAGCCTCGGATTTACAGTTCTGGACTCGTGGTGTCTGGCATTAAATCCCCAAGCCATCATTTTGGTCAAATGGGTGAAAAATTTATCCAGGAGGTAAGGCACACAGGATGGTTTTTGTATGTAGCACCTGGCTGTTGCAATGTAGCACGAAGTGCATAAACACATGGGGGTAATCTGTCAGGAGCTGGAGTAAGATGTAGGTCAGTGATGAATAACACGGTGTCAGTAAAGTTAACACTTAATTCAAAGAAACCCAAACAGCACAGGGCCAGTGATCCCAGCAACCTAAGGCCCATGGGCCACAAGAGGCCCACGGGGGTTGTTTAACCAGCCCACAAGCCACCCCCGAACCGAGCCGCCTGCTCTTGCGCTGCGCTAAACCGGCGCGGTGCGGGGACTTGCTTTTGCGGCGCTGGAAATGGCATCTGCACATGCACAGATGCCGGAAATTGTGTCTGTGCAGACACCACAAATCGCGGGTGGGGGCGCAATCCGGCCCACGGAGGGATCTCTGCTGGAATCAACTGGCCCAGGCAAGGTAAACCTTGCCGACCCCTGCAGTAGGCCTTGCCCAAATGAGGTTGAGAAGTTCTGCGAAGTTCTGTACAAACATTCAGTCCTGTTCAGTACAAGAGGAACCACAGGGTCAGACATTGGGTGTATGATTGCGATAAGCTCTGTACAGTTGGCCCCAGTTAGTAACCTAGCAGCTGCATTTTGGAAGTCTTTCAGGAACAGCCCCATCTGAAACACATTGCAGTAAGGAGTCATAGCATTGGGCTTCAAACATGGCAAGCTTAGAATAAATCTTTTTTTAAAATAAATCTTTTTAAAAATCCTTTCACAAATATGACTTTAAAAGAGCATTTGCTCCACATAAATGTTCAGTTTTTATTTTCTGCTAAACAATGTATTCCCTTTTTGCTGTGCCATCTGAAAAAGATAAGAAGCAAACACCCCCCCCACTTTGCATAGATAAACCAAGGTGGTTAAAAAATGCATTAACCAGGTATTTGCAGAATTCTTCTTTCCTTTTTAAAACGCATTTGTTATTGCTGAATGGACATGTCCTATTAAAGCACAGTGTATATAATGAAGTCTCCAATTAACATGAGAAGTAGCTGGTACGCATTGTAGCTGTCCAGTCGCTGTGCTATTTATTTATTTTAATGGGAAGAGGTTTTACCAAAGTGAAATAGGCTAGTTTCATTAATGACTTCTGGAGAAAAAGCATACCATTCTAAAAATGTAAGGAAGTAACATGCTGTAATACATTGCGATGGTTAAAAACAGCATTTCAGATAGTTTACAGAAGTGCTAACTTTATTTACATATAATTAACTTTCAGAAGGCAGAAATTAATTGGTGAACTATGCGAGCAGGAAGTAAAGATTATGCATATGTAAAGCCTAGATCCTGTGTTCCATATGCTTTCCTACATATTTTACACCAAGATTACAGGGATGAAAAAAATCACCAAACGATTTTCATTCATAGAAGCATGATACTACTCTTGGAGCACTGTAGCCACAAGGATCAAAGGATTTATAGCTGTCATTAAATTGCATTGTGTAAATGTATATAAATAATTGAAAATGCAGTGACATGACACAAGAATGTGTTGTAAATTAGCAGCAAAGTTAATCAAGCAGCCTAGGTAGTTTTGCATATTCCGCTTTTGGCAATTTTTATGATTAATTTCTGAAATAAATCTGGCTTTGCCTTCCAAGCTGTTTTGTTTTGTTTTTTTTAAAATCAAAATCTTAAAAGCAAAGTGCAAAATAACGGCCGGATGCTAGTTTGTAGCTTAAATCACCAACCGGATTCCCCTTCAACGATGCTTTAAATTGTGTGCTGGCAAACTGAACAACCGTTCAGGAACCTTTCTTAATCCTGAATATTCCTCAGCACTGTTGTTTTTATGCAATTCCTGATCACAGGTGCATTTGTCTTTTTTGCTTGTTTGCTTTCTTAAAATTGCTGCCCTGCCCTTTTCGCACATGTTCAAAAGCAACCTTGCAAAAACCTGCTGGGTGCTTGTCTTCCAGGAGCTGCCTGCAGGACACTTCCAGGTGTAACCATTCGCCAGGATTATAGGAAAGTCAGAGCTGGGTTGACAAGGTGAACCAGCATGTTTGCTGTCATCTCTCTCTCTCTCTCTCTCTCCTTCCATATGGCAGCCACATGCCAGCATCTACTGAAATAGAGTAGAAATATCAGAGATTGCATGGTGCAGTTTATATTTCCCAGGGCAAGTTCCAAAGCTATGCAGGATTCCGCCCTGCAGTGGTGGCCTTTGTTAATTTAACTGACAAATTCCGGTTGCCCAATGAAAGCTGATTTGGAGTTCTTGCACAACAAACCCGCTCCCCCCCCAAATGTGGACCTCCTGCAATAAGAAAAACGATGGGGGAAATGCAGCAAAAAGCACTTTAAAGCAACCTTGTCAAGCAGCTCTGCAAACAAATCAAAGTGAATGCTCCTTAAATAGCCAATATTGCCTAATCGCCTTGCTAAGAAATCAGGATTGATGCTTAAGAGCAGGTCACCCAGAAGTGCCCCTAGTGAGCAATTTCCCTTTGGGGGAAATAGAGCAACTGCTGAGCGGGCAGAGTTATTTTCTGCAGGGGTGGGGGGCATTTTTCATCCTGAGGACCACTTTCCCTTCTGGGCAGTCTTCCGGGGGCCACATGCCACTGGTGGGTGGGGCCGGAGGCAAAAGTGAGTATAGTGATGAATGTGAATGTTACTATTAATTTCTGAATTGCCTTCCACAGCCTTAAAAACAGCTCAAATAAGGTTAAAAAAACAACAACCAAACTCTACAGGAACAACTAAGTACAATACAGGTTTTAAAAAGAAACAAAATAAGCACCTACGGCAGAGGCCTTTTCATCTAGCTGCAAAAGCTTGTCAAAACAAAATTGCTTCCAGAAAGATCAGCGAGTTCAGTGACACATGTCAGTCAGACAAAAACACTTGAGCGTATAAAACAATGCTGGTGTGACCTGGGGAAAGAGGGGGCATCCTGGGGAAAACCCCAAGGGCCCAAGATTCCCTACCCCTAGATTATGGGGGGAGCAGTATTTACACACAAGGGGATCAGTTTAATTTCATGAATTTGATGCCACTACTAAAATCATGTTGATAAATACATTGACTACTTACTTTAAAAAGGTCAATTGATGTCAGTGGGAGGGATTTTGACTGCAATTCTATACGTACTTACCTGGAAGTAAGTCCCATTGAACTCAATGGAGCTTACTTATAAGTAGGTAACATATAAAATTGCACCGTTAGGCCACATGTTTAATTATCCCACTGAAACCAATGAAGTGTAAATGTGTCACACTTTGGCCAGATTGTGCCCAGTGCTTTCCCCCCCTTCTTTTTAAGAAAAAGGGGTCCCGGTGCTCACCATGAAGTTGTTACAGTAAGTGCCACACTTTTAACATGGGGGGAGGGGGAGAGATGCCAGTACTGTGTACCCTTGAGTACCCCCAGAAAAAAAGCACAACTTGTGCCCATTACTTGGAGGTAGGCATAATTGAAAGCAATGATGTATTTAGAAATAAAATTAAGACTGCAGCACAATTTCTAAATGGTAAACAGCAAATGACAATACAATTGCCCATATAAAACTTGTAACACTAAAACCAGAATAAAACTCTGCAAAAGTTATCAAGTCCAGCATTAAGAGCTGGCAAAAGCTTCAGCAAACCCTCCACCATCCCGAGAAAGCCTCTTCATCCTGATTTTATTTTATTCTTTGGTAAATTTGCAAAAAGAAAATGTCTTCAGAATATATCTAAAACACATAACAGATGACACTTCCTGCACAGCACAGGGAAGATAGTTCCAAGTATAAGCACAGCAATGGAAAATGCTCATTTCCAATGAATTTGTGATAGGATTACATATGTGAATCATGGCCTGCATATAAAGCATTGCAGGCCCAGTATCTTGTTGTGGAAATTTCATTTTTTTATTGCTTGGTTGGGGCAGGGGCAGGCACAGGGAGGGATCCATTAATCACTCACACAACCACCATCACCACCACAAATTCATTCACGATAACATACATAAATTTAGGAAGATTAATTCTTTTGTCTACATTGATACATTTATATTTAAATTGTTACTAGATACCACCTTTTAATTCATTTCTCATTAATCAGAGCATCTGAGTGTCCAATACATTAGTGTCCAGTTACTTTCCCTGCTAAATGTTTTCCAATTCCTCTCTGTAAAACAAGAGGCAACGAGCACATATAAGAACAGACTTCACTAGCTTACTGTCTAATAAAGAACAAAGGTGATTAAAATGCCCTGCTGAGTGGTGGAATCCTGTACATACGGAACTGCTCAGAAATACAGTGGTACCTCGGGTTAAGAACTTTCCACAAGCCACTTTGAATGGCAAGGAAGATGGAATGTGTATACAGTGGTACCTCGGGTTAAGTACTTAATTCATTCTGGAGGTCTGTTCTTAACCTGAAACTGTTCTTAACCTGAGGTACCACTTTAGCTAATGGGGCCTCCTGCTGCCGCTGCACTGTGCGACCACGTTTTCTTTTCTCATCCTGAAGCAAAGTTCTTAACCCGAGGTACTATTTCTGGGTTAGCAGAGTCTGTAACCTGAAGCGTCTGTAACCTGAAGCGTATGTAACCTGAGGTACCACTGTAAGCCTGTGGTGCTTCGTCCCACGCAAATGTGTGTAGGATTGTAGCAATTCCCTTTGCATCAGGACTTTTTTTCCAGCTGGAACTCACCAGAACTCGGTTTCAGCACCTCTCAGGTGGGCGCCATTGCCATTCTAAGAGAACAAAGGAGGTGTTAATGGTGAAAAAAATAGCACTGCTTTGCCTGTTTGTTCACAAGGAAGCCCCACTCAGTGGGACTTACTTTCAGTCCTAAGTAAGTGTTACAGGAGTGCAGATTTAGCCAGAAATTCTATATCCAGTTGAACTTAATGAGACTTGGTTGTTGTTATTAACATGCCCTCCGGCATTCCTCAGATGAAAACAGGGACATTTCTCACTCCCACACCAACTGACCCTCCATCTTTGTCCCCCCTCCTGCACAGCATTTCCTATTAGAAGAAAAGCAATGGGACACAGCATGCACACACACCCCATCCCGAGAAAGCCTCTTAATC